CGAAGAATATTACTTCTACAAGCCGTAGTGTTGTCCGATCAACTTCTGATCAAGTGAGTGTGTAGTTACTTTATTCTAACGCATAATTATGAAGTATTTTATACGAAATACATGTTATGTGTATGTATATTGTTGTTTATATGTATGAGTGTGTGGTTACTCTCTTCTAAACACATAAATATAAAGTATTAGGTATGAAATCCGTGCTATGCGTTATATATTAATTGTCTATATGAGATGGGCTTGGAATTGATGTTTTTATACGGGTGTTAAATGATTTAAACTATATATGTAATTTATATCTACAAATATGTTGGGTAGAACATGGGTAGATAAAATAGTTGGTGTGTGTTGAAAGAATGTGATAAGAGAAAGGTGAGGATATTATGGTGATGATAATTAGGTGATGATAGATAGGTGATGAATTACGAGTCCAGGCGATGTTGTAGCTATGTATTCATGCGATGATAGTCTATCCCTTATTATGAATTATGAGTCCAGGCGATGTTGTGGCTACGTATTCATGCGATGATAGTCTAACCCTTATTATGATTTACGAGTCCAGGCGATGTTGTGGCTGTGTAATCATGCGATGATACCCTAACCCTTACTAGACATATATTGAGGGAGTGATCCCCGAATTAGTATTGTCTATATGATACATGCGATGATCCTTAGGAAAAACTTCTTAGGAACAAGCATATAAGGATATAAGATGTAAGGAGATGAGCGGTAAATATGATATAGGAGATGACCCTTAAGATAATATCTTTAGGGAAGTTAAAAGAAGATAATGGGGATGGGTAATTGGGTTGATTGTTTGATGATTGAATATAATAATTATATTATTGTGGGTTGAAAACCCTATATGCTCACCAAGCTCCCAAGCCTGACCCACTCAGTTTAATTGTATCACAGGTATCGATACGAAGCTGCTTTGCACTAAGAGATTAAAGGAGATGTAAATGATTAGTGTAATTAAATGTAAGTTCTGTTTATGCTTATATGTCTGTATCGGAACATGACATCCCGAGGTTTTATTATTAAATGAAAATACATTCTCTTTGAGAAATGTTTTGATAAGTTATTATCATATCTTGTTTTGGGAACAAATTCCGCAACCGTTTTCTTTAAAAGATTACTCTGGTTTTATAAAACAAAGCATAAACAAATCGGTCTTTTCTGGCCGTGAAAATGGGGATGTCACATTTTTGGCAGGAGGTCTGTCGCTGATGAGATCTCTCTAAGGAACACTGGAGCCATAACATCTCTTGCTATACGAATAGACTTCAACTTCTCGAGGTTTATACTGGACGAGTTCGTGGTGAACATCAATGCAATAACCCAGGATACTTTCTTGCTATATCCAAGGTTCATCCAAATGTTTATTAACATTCAATGAGATGGTCAAAGAGGGTGAAACCCTAGATATGAAGTCACTAGGCCCTCACACTGTTGGGCTTATCAAGCAAAATCGCAAGGGTAAAGTCATTTTCCAAGGATTGTATCCGCTTGTAAAGTTTGGAAAATTTTCTGAATTAAACGAAAGTTTTGAGTCTCATGGATCGTCTGATAAAATATCCTTTGAGTCTGCTTCTTCAGAAAGGGTAATTTCAGAAGATAAAGTTATCACGATGTCAGAACATGACGAAGAAAGAGAAGATACAACTGTTCCCATTGCAGTTGTGGTTGAGGAACATGATCTGACTTCAGTTCCACTACAAAGTGATTACAATGAAGGGTCTTTAAAGAGTGTGACTGAAACTGACTTTTATGAAGATCTTGATCTCTCTGGCTTCGATAAGGATAAAATTCCGGTGAATTTTGGAGGCAATGAAGATTTCTTGTCAACTGATAATCTCAACTTGCTACTTGACAATATCGATGATGTTGCTCATCCAGCAACGGAGATACGGAACTCTGATGATATTCTTGAACCAACGCCTCCTACTACCAAACAAGTGGTTAAAACATCAACTCCTATGGTGACGGTGTCAGGGAATACTCCCCTTGACATTGTTTCTCCTACTACAGAACCACTTCAGAGTGATCATACAACAACCCAAACCTCTCAACCTCCTCTGAAAAGGAAGAAGACGTGATCCCAGACAGGGAATTCTTGATTCTGATATACTTCAAGACCTCCAAATTCCTCCAACCACCACTCATGTTATTGTCTCATCATAACCTATAAGTGAAGGTCCTAGCACCACGTATGAAGCTGGCGGATCTTCAATTCCTATAGGATTCTCTCCTTCCCGGCCAGATCTTGATGCTGCCTCCGTGAGGCTGGCCCTGCATTTGGCTCAGGAACAAGGTTCAGTGCCTTCCCCCAGAGCCAAGGGAATTTCTTTTTAGGGAAGGTATCACAGGAGAAGACAATCCTTCTATTGTTGAGCTTCAAAAGGAAATAAGTGTGTTAAATTAAAAGAACATTGAGCTTTACATTAAGGTGACTTATCTTATGAGTGAAAATATCATGCTCAAGACTCAAGTTTTTGATCTTGAAGAAGATAAGACTTTAAAGACTAAGCAGATCTCCAATCTTCAGACTCACTTTGGTCTCCTCACAGCTTGTTATTTTAACTTGAAAAAGAAACTGGCAGAAGAACTTGGTGACAAGTTTAAGTCTACTGTTGATGAATCGAGTATGTTTCTGCCATCTCAAGATCCTCCGGTCGTTCCACCATCTGCTCAATCATCCCACGTTGTAGATCATTTTGAGGTAGATCTTGTTCAAGCTCCTAATGCCGTGGCTCTTAAACGTGCTAGACTAAATGAATCTACTGAGAAGGGATAACTTTTGTTTAAGAAGAGATCTAATCTAAATGCACCTGGGAATCAACAAAAAATAATTGTTACTAATCTCGAAGAAATACGTTTTCCAGATACATACAGTGATAGGTCCAGAATTGTCTCTTGGGGATTTCACGACACGTTAAATATGTGGATTGTGAGAAGGAAGAGTGGCAATGCAGAACTTTACGAAGATTGTCATGACTTCCATTCTTGGACCAGGGTTGATCTTTCAGAGTTATCTCAAACTCCTTTTGCAAATCCCTCACAAGATCCAAAGGCAACTCACTTCAAGCTCTTTTTGGAAGACCAAGTGAAGAAAGGCTTTCCGGTAATGAAGACTGTAGAGTCTATTATCAAGCAATATCCTGATGTGATTGATCCTAAGACTGGTTATCCACTTCAAGTTATGATGTGGCATGCTGCCAGTCAGGTTAAGCAAATTTCGGTGCTTCAAAACTATCCAGATGGATCCTTAAGCTCCATGCTTTACTAGGTGTTTGACGAAACAACATCCTTCGGTGTCATCAAGCTTAAAGATGGATGCATTCTTCTATATGACCGCAGAGATCTGTTCCAGTTTGGGTAATGGGATATCCATCAACTAAGTCTTTATCAGATTAAAGTTGCAGAGGAAATTTTTGAGCAAGCTGCCAAAGAGTGTACCTCTATGGTTGCTGATATTATCAACAAACAAATGCGGAACAGAGCAATGGGGAAGTCAGACGTGTTGGTGGTCGACAAATATTGAATCCAAGCTAGCCCCAACCCAAGGGGGAGATTGAAGGGATCAATTAATGGTTTGGTCTAGGCTTTGAGTTGTAGTAGTTCTTTTGAGTATTTTTGGTGTAATAGTAGGTCAAATTAGGGTTCACGGTTTTGTGGTGAGTTTACGACCATAAACCCTATTTCCAGCCCATGTCCTGTTTGTGGTCATTGTCCCCTATAAATAGAGGTTGTGTAGGTCATTATTGGTTGTTGATACCACAGAGTTCACGGCTACTGTAAACAGGTTGTACCATACGTTTTTCAGCAATAAAATCGTGTGGAAGCTTGTTTCAGTTCTGTTTCTACTCCGATTCTTATTCTATTTGATTGCTCGATTGCTTGATCATTGATAAAGATCCGTTTTAGGACCTTACACATATGAGTTGAAAAAGACTCGGGGGTGAAATTGACCTAGGGGTGAAATAGACCCGGTATAGACTTGAGCTGACGTCTATGTATGGTATGTGGTATTTTGGGGAAATCACTAAGCTTTGTTCTTACAGTTTTCAGTTTAATGCTCAGGTACTTCCGGTTCGGAGGGGAAGAGTTCATGATGATCGCATTGCACACACCATGATTTTCCGCTTATTTGACTCTGATGTACTTTGGGGTGTTTTTTAATACACTATGATCACTTTATAATTTTCGACAAATATGTTTGGTTGATGGTTTAATTAATATAAAAATGAAAAATTTTGGTTCTGAGTTTTGGGACGTTACTAGCATAATATTGAAGCTATATTTCAAGGGTTGTCATATGTTTAGCAAATTGAAGGTAAATTGTCATGGACCAACTTATCAATAAAAGTAATAAGAAAAATAAGGGAATGGTTGGAAATGCCTCTACAACAAAAGATCGGTGTTAGTTGCCTCTTCCTCCTTATGTTGTTTTTGATGTGCATAGATTTGAATTAAAACAATGTATGTAAACTTTTAAGTCATCTTATGCTCAAGCTTCACATGATAATTCAAAGCTTTGAAGAAAGTAGAGTAATAAAAAATCTATCTCGTAAGTCATACATAATGATGTCTGGACCAAGGAAAAAGAATCAAGAATGACCCTGTACCTAGCTATTATCGATCATATAAGAGCGTAGGATTTTTCCAAATCAAAAAAACATGAGTCATCATCTTCTTCAATATCTATATTCATCGTCTTCTCCAATATTCATAGATAATGTGACAGAAATTTGGAGAGAGGGACTATGTGAAAAACTGAATCCACAATCTTTAATATCTCATCGTCTTATCCAATATTTAGAGTCGTTGTCTCGTATTTTTCCTCCATTGGTTTGATAATCAGATTTTACTGCTTCTTGGTTCCTAAATTAATACAACGATAGTGTAATGTTAATTCTATCTCGCTCTCACTCTGTAACTTGTTGGTATAAAACTGGTGATGAAGATCATTTGAAGGAACATGTAGTTAGGGGAACATGATAGACAACAATAGGAAATTAAAGACAGAGATAGGATTTGTGGGGCAGAAGAAACATCATGGAAGCGGAGAAGAGGAATGGGAAGATAGCGTCGTGGAAGAGCTGAAGACGGAAGTGTGCAGGGAAACTGAAGAAGATAACGGTAAATAGTGACTTTAAATGTCTATGTAAAATAGCTGTTAATCTAATGGTTGTGAATGGAGAGATGGTTTTTAACCGCTCTCCGTTAATAAATATATAATATTGTATTCTTTTAATCATGTTTTCAAACAGAAACTATTCTTCCTGACAGATACACTACTCTTATATACTTGAAAACTATGACCGCAAAACAAACGCCACCAAAAGTTGGTGTTGTACGATGCTCCTTTTTATTTGTACTCAATGCTTTCTTTTTTTAGGTCTTATCTTTTATTCATGATTCTTTATTTTTTTTTAATATAATTAGATAGTGTTTGAAAGTGTTTTTCAAAATGATTTATTAATTTATTGTTTTTTTCTAAAAAGTTAATAAGCTAAAAAAATATTTGGTAAACACTAACTTTTTAGTGAAAAAATGACCTTTTAAAAAAAATCATAAAATTTTGGTTTTTCCAAAAAATTAATAAGTAAGATCAAAAAGCACTCCTAAACATGAGTTTAGTCATAAGAACACCATACTCTAGTAGTTCTACAAGTGATACCATTGTATAATCATTACTTTATTAAGAGGGTGTGTGGTGAAAGCTTAAAAAATGATTTTTTTGGCTTATTATCGGTTGCTAATAAGTATAAGGCCCCGTTTAATACGCATATTTTTAGGTCCAACCAAATTTTTCTGGTCGAATGGACCGGAAAGACTGTTTGATTTGCACAAAAAATGGTTTTTTTTCAGTAAGATATGTCTTTCCCAGAAAGCCCCTTAAATCATATTTTTCTGGCTGAATGAGCTGGAAAGACAATTATGCAGTAAACCCCGCCTCTTTATTTCTTTCTTGGATTATTAATTTTTTTAAGTAACATTTTTTTAAATTTATTATTTATTGAATTAATACTTTTTTAATGTATTGTTTTATATTAAGAAATCTTGTTTTAATATATAATATTTATGTATGAATAAAAATTATTTTATTGGATTATTAATTTCTTTTAAATATATATATTTTTTTAAAATTTTCTTTTTAAGGATTAATTCTTTTTATTGGATTATTATATATTCATAAATATTATAATATATAATATATAATATTTATATACTAATAAATATTAATTTATTGGATTATTAATTTTTTTAGTTAATTTTTTAATTTATTTTTATTAGATTAATTTTTTTTGGACAATACCACCATCATCCTAATTTATTTAAAAAAATCTCATTCATCCCGCCACTATTGGAAATAAACCGAATTATTTTTTATCCTTCAAAACAGTCAATTAAATGTATAATCAAACAAAATAATTTCTTTCCCGATCAGTAAACTTTTCCAGACATAAACTATTAAATGGATCTAAATAAAAAAAAAAGTTTGAAAGTACTTTTTTTTTTTTTTAAAAACACATATCTAATAGATCGACTAATATATCCCTTTAACCTAACGTTAATCATTTTTAAGTTACTTTGCCCGAAAACTCCTTATTTCACCCTTTAACAGATTGACTAATATACCCCTTTAACCTAACGTTAAACATCGACACAAGAACGCTCGTCTGTTCTCCATCGCATCTGTTCATCGCTGCTGCTGTTTGTCTACCGTGAATCGCCACCCCTCCCCTGCTCGCAGCCGTTAGCCTTCTCTCCCCACCGGACGGATATCGTCGCAGCCACAGGTAAGCTACCGTGAATCGCCATCTGTTCCTCTCTTTCTGCTTTCCTTCGTGTTTGTGCTGCTGTCGATTTCCCTAGCATCAAATCCATGTGCTGTGTCGATTTTTTGATTTGAATTGGAGCTGTCGATTTTCTTGTTTCTCTTAGTGGCCGTCAGACAAATATACTAATATATTAACGTGTTCAAACAAATTCACAATGTAGAAATCCAAAAACTCAACTTCAATCGATTTGGAGTTTTTGGATTTCTACATTGTGAATTTGTTTGAACACGTTAATATATTAGTATATTTGTCTTGCGAAAATCCCTAGGAAGGATCAACATTAGCTAACAAAGTTATGCCCATGAGGTGTTTGATGAAATGTCTCAACAAAAAAAAAACATGAAACTAACACCCAAAGTTTCATCTCACATTAACAGGTAGCTCAAAAATGGCAGCAAGTTCTGTTTCCAAATGTTTTCGTGGTAAGTTTTGAATCCTTTCTCTTAACAAATTTTTCCATTTCATGATTCTTTCTGATCTATTTTGTATAGTGGGTCATTCTTTGTTGTCTTCCAGTATCCAAAGATCATCATTATCACAAGAAGCCACCTGCAACAATCTCTTAACTCAGGTCTGTTCTTTAATGTATAAAGTTTGATTCTTTTTAAACCATTTTACAAAATCTTGAATCTTTTTGTACTTTTCAACAGCAAATAAGGACATTCATACAGATGAGGACGAATCTGAAAGTTGTAGACAACTCAGGGGCAAAACGGGTAATGTGCATACAGGCTTTAAAGGGGAAGAAAGGGGCAAGATTAGGGGACACGATAGTTGCATCAGTGAAGGAAGCACAACCAGGGGGGAAAGTGAAGAAAGGGCAGGTTGTTTATGGTGTGGTTGTTAGGGCAGCTATGCAAAAGGGAAGGTGTGATGGAAGTGAAGTGAAGTTTGATGATAATGCTGTTGTGCTTGTGAATAAACAAGGTGAGCCTATTGGGACACGTGTCTTTGGACCTGTCCCACATGAGTTGAGGAAGAAAAAGCATGTTAAGATATTGAGTCTTGCACAACATATTGCTTGAAGGTATTGCTTTGTTTTTTTACAAGGTGAAATGAATAAGATTTTGAAGATTTTTGGAACCAAAAGTTGTTATGGTATTATTATGATGTAATCAGTGTATTCTGTTTTTTGAAAATGATTCTTGTGTTTGTTAGCTCTTAATTGTGACATGTACCTTAATTCTAGCTTCTAAACGCTTGAACACGATTTATTAAAAACAAATTTAACATTTCCAATGAATGGTGTAAATAGAGAAAAATGAAATTAAAATTAAAAATAAAGAATAATTTCAAACCTGACTTTGCTGCCACGAATGAAGACATGTTCAAACTGAGCCACCTTTGCCATAATGAAAATGTGCACAACCAACAATATCAGGCTACAGGTTTTAAAAAAATATATAAACTTAATTTCATTAAAAAAAAAGTTCATGTTTAACGTTTCCTATATCTAGGTTATGATTGTTTAACTAGCTTTATGCTTCGTATCTTCTCCATATTTTTTCTGATGACATGTTTCTTATAGTAACAATGTTTCATAAAAGCAACACAACGACTAAGAGACAAGGATCTTGAAGTAAAGTTTTCTAAAACAATTTCTGAAAATATTCTCTAATAAAGAAAGGGACAGGTAATATTCTAGCAAAACAGGAAGTTTTTCCTGTGCCATTGCAATTTTCTTCCACTCCATAATTTCTAAAGTTTAGTAATCAGTATTATGACTTACGATTAACTAAACATACCAGTCAAAACATATGTACTCAAATCCTATTTTAATCATAGAATTTCACAGGTATCTGCAACTCAGTATTCTAGTTATGTTTGTTATTTCTTTTAATATTTGTGTTCTTCATTGCCCATGCTGCAAAAATTCTAAAAGTGATCTTGTTATGTTCTTAAACAAAATGCTACGAAAGTGGGAACTTTTGTTTGGATTTTTTTTTTTTCTTTTTGTAGTTTTGCAACATAAAATTAAAATTGATACAGGAAAGTTAACATTTGTGTTTTGGAATTTGTCAAAGCGGATTTCTTTGACCATTTTTGTTACGAACAAAACAACTTTGTATGTGAAAAAAAAAAGAACAATATCACATTGCATGAATGAATGATGAATCATGTAATATGAACGTGAAAATAACGACAATATTTTTACTAACTTCTTCACAAGTCTACGCATTGTGTGTGAACAGGTGGAACTTTACCACCCGAAACAAACATTTGACCTTCACCTCCCTTTGAAAAACTCAAAATAGAACATTTGAAATTAAAAATACGAATATAGTATATTTCAAAAAAGAATCATCATGAATCCTGTTAAATAACTCCCATAAATTGGCGGATATTATTTTTTTTTTCAAAAAAAAAAAAGATTCAATAATTTTTTAGATAATGCCAACCTATTATGTCACATAAGCAACACATGGAACAAACTCAACAAATAATAAATGGTCAATTTTACACAAAAAAAAAAAAATGAAAATGTGATGACTTTAGGAGGAAAAATAAAATTATGGGTAAAAGCAGATAAAAAATAAAGTTATGTCAAATAAAATCTTTTATAAGACGGTAGTTCTTTCACCATTTTCTCTACAGTATTACATATTTTGGTAAAACAATATCACAAAACTGTATATTTAGTCTAAAAATTACCTTTATGCCATAAAATATAGCAAAAGATGAAATTTTATTATACAAACAAATATTGAATTTAATACTAGTATTAAACAAACAATTGTTTGTGTTTGTGAATACCACGTGTAACTTTATGCTACATCACTTGTAAAATACATCAAATTAAACTTATTTTTATAGAAACCTATGTAGGTCTTTGTGTATAATATTTTATGATAAAATCATAAAAAGTTAAAATAAAAAGCAATCAATTTAAGTCTCATACAAGTTAAGTGATATGTGGAAGAGAAAAGGATCTTGTCAATGTATGTTTTTAATGTGTCCAAATATGACTTGACATTTGACAATATTACATGTAATCGTGACTTAAATTAGCCACTATTTTCAGCCTTGATTTACCCCATACACATCGTCATCATTGATTATGTACTTTCCATTACCAAAACCCTCTTGCTATTCCTACAAATCACTCTCACTCGAGTTTTTGTGAGGAGAGGGTTTCCATAAGATTTTCATTATGCCTTGAAATACAAGAAATAACAAACTATTTTCACTTGTTTGAGTAGTATATCATCGGATGTTGATTTATTTATATTATAACATTCTACTTAAAAAATACTACACATGAAATATCTGTTATCTATTCCAATTATAGAATCTTTTATTTTTATTTTTCTTATTAGGACATTACACTTGAACTTTTATTTGGGTAGATTTTTTAAGAGTACAATGTTGTAATAGAAAGATCTTAAAGTAGGATGTTACAATAAACAAACCATCAAAAATAAATTGCTACTTTTTGTATTTAACCCAAATCTAAAAGATAATCACTATAGAAATCTTAGACATGAGTAATGTTAGGGTGTAAAGTTCTCATTGGATGTGATTTACCCTCTTTGATTGTGTAATGGGTTGAGTTTTTCCTATAAATAGAAAGTAAGTAGTTCCTATTTTATGTAAGAACCCCTTTGAGAGATTGGTCTAGTGAGAGAACTATTACATAACCCACTTTGTAATAGATTGCTAGATTAATGAGAGCTTAAACCGTCTTATATAATTTTTGTGTGTTCTAGACATGATTTGATTCACTTTATCATTACAATTCCACATTAATCATCGTAATCGGGTCACTACAATTGGTATCAGAGCGAGTGCTTTGAAGTTTTTAAGAAATTGATCCATGATGACATTTTTTGATTGGGTAAATCATAAATCAAACTTCATGTTGTAGGTTTTCTTTCTTTTGAGGGTATTTTTGGTTCTAGAAATCGAATTAGTTCTTTGATCTTGATTAAAATTCGATTTTCTCTCTCTAGAATTCATGTAGAAATCACTTTCTCTTTAGATATACTTTCTATCTTTAGAAAAATCTAAGTTCTTGTGATCATTTCGTTTTTGGATTTGAATTGGAAGAATCAATTTGTGACAAATGGTTTGTACAGGAAGGAGGTCATGCATATTCATATAATTTTGAAGAACTTTTTTCTTTGGTTATTGGGTATCTTAAAAACTATTGTGACATCCCCAATTTCACGGTCAGAAAAGACCGATTTGTTTATGCTTTGTTTTATAAAATTAGAGTAATCTTTTGATTAAAAGAGTTGCGGAATTTGTTCCCAAAATAAAATATGATAAAATTTATCAAAACATTTCTCAAAGAGAATGTATTTTCATTAAATAATAAAACCTTGGGATGTCATGTTCGATACAGACCAAAAGCATAAACAATATAAAATAAATCTTACAACAGTTATTTATGACTACTGATCTATAATCCAAAATCTCTCGTCAAGTCCACCGACTTATACTCTTGTGCCATCACCTGTAATGTAAAGAAAACTGAGTGGGTCGGGCTTGAGAGCCTGGTGAGCATATAGGGTTTTCAACCCACAATAATATAATTATTATATGTAATCAGCAAACAATCAACCCAATTACCCATCCCTATTATCTTCTTAAGGTTTTACCCTAAGAACCAACTATCCTTCATTCATTTATTCGTAAGGAATTTGGCACGAATTCCATTGCTGCCAAATCTTATTTATCAAGTACTAAATCCATAGTTATCTGGCGCTAACTCCATAGTCACCAAGGTTCACTTAACAAGCGCTAACTCCATAGTCGCCAAGGTTTACTCAACAAGCGCTAACTCCATAGTCGCCAAAGTTTACTCAACGTGCGCTAACTCCATAGTCGCTAAGGTTTACTCAACGTGCGCTAACTCCATAATCGCCAAGGTTTATACAATAGGCGCTAACTCCATAGTCACCAACTATTCCATCTACCTATGTTCTACCCAACAATTTTGTAGATATAAATACTTACACAGTTTAAATCATTTAACACCTGTATAAAACTCCAATTTCCATGCCCATCTCAAATAGACAAATAACATATAAACACATAGCACGTATTCCATAGTAAATACGTCATATTTGTGTGTTAGAAGAAAGTAACTACACACTCACACATATAAACAACAATAAACTTAATACCCTCAAACCATACTTGTATTATTATCGTGTTTATGAAAGGTAGTATACACTCACTTGATCAGAAGATGATCGGACAGCACTACGACTTGTAGAAGTAGTATTCTTCGGTAGATCTGGAAGATCTCCACAAAAATCGAACTTCTCGCGGGCAGAGCTTCGGCTTGGGAACCGCACTTCTCGGGATCTTCGGGATCTCGGGACTTGCTTCGGGGCTCGAGAATAATACCGGGGCTTCGGGGTATTTCTGGCACGCAAATCGATGCAAAACGGGAGAGAGAATGGAGAAAAATAGCAAAGAAGCCGGCTGCCCTCGCATCCTATTTATAGGAGGCTGGAGCCTCGGAGTACGCGGGGTGTACTGGTCCGAAATCGTCACTGCGTTCGTCATCCGAAGTCCTCGAGTGCGAGTGTCGACATCTTCGGTGTACGCGGGGCGTACACAAGTACGCAGGGCGTACTTCGGATCGGATCGCTGACTCCTCTTCGGATAATGCCGGGGTTTAATAATTAATTTTAATTATTAATTATTTAATAAACTTCGGAAATGCATATCTCCTTCATACGAACTCCGTTTTCGACGTTTTTTATATCCACGCGAAGGTGAGACTACGCTCTACAACTTTCGTTTGGATTCCGTCGGCTAATTTTGACTTTATTTTTATTATTTATTTTTAATAGGCCGGGACAGAAAATTTCGTTATAAATTCATAACTTCTTTGTTCGACGTCCGTTCTTGCCTAAATTTTCGTCGTTTCGCTACTAACAACGAGATCTTCGATTCTCGTTTAGATCGCTAAGGCTAAATATCACTATAACGTAAATTCACTTTTTACGTCATTCGGCGTTGTGCTGGTTCTGTCGCGAAACTTTAACAAGTCATAACTTCTTCGTTGTAACTCGGATTTTGGCGTTCTTTATATGCACGGAAACCTTGTAACATATAGTACAACTTAGTTAGGATTATTCATCCAAAATAATCTTGTATCAAAAAGTCATTTTTGACGCTTATTGTCTCTAAATTGACTAGCCCTGATCTACGGGCATTACAACTATTTACCCATTTCTTGTGGTGAAAAAGATGAATGTGGAAAGATGATTGATCATCCTC